CCCTGTACGGTGCTACATGATTTATTACACTGCAATGATACAGTGTGGTTTGAGTACATATGAAATTACGGTACAGTATGATGAATATATCAAAAGCTTCAGTTTTAAAGTGAACACACTGTCGGCCACAAAAACTCTAAAGTGGCTGCTGACAGAGATTCAGGTGTTTTGTTACAGATATTCCAAACTTTGACCAATATTTTGTATCCATACCATGAAAATACGACTGAAAAAAAATCTAAAATCTTGTTTTGACAAACACAAAATGCTATGACCTCTAATTGGCTGTAAAACCCATCAATTTCAGGTCAGCGACTGCCTCTTGCACCCAATATTTCAGCAACTCGATTTGTAGCTGTAGGAAACAAACTGCAAATCGTGGGGGAAGATTCCAGCAGTTGTAATTATCGATTTGTATTTGTGTTTTAAAACAGCACAACTATTTTCGTGAAAGCTTATTGTACATAAATGTAAATAAAAATTTTTCCACAAGTTCATATAAAGATCCACACATATTCAAATTTTGTCCACAACTTCACATTGCTCCATCCAGGTGCACAAATTTCTTTTGCACCAATTGCACCAAAAATGTGAGCATGTCAGAGTTGGAATCTGTGACTTGTAAAATCGGATATGTGCACCTGTAATAAAGAATTAATGAATGTGTAAATGTTGTGTTGTACTTGTGGAAATAAAAAAAAAAATCAACAAGAACAACACAAAAAATCAGAACTCATAGAGTGCGGATTTCATATTTACTAATACACAAGCACAATCACTGTACACGACTACAAATGACATGTTACAGATGCACAAACCTTTGCACCAAAAATAACCTTCGTACAATACTAATCAAAATGACATGAAAGAAAATAAGATACAATTCAAAAGGAGAAATACCATGGGATACTAAATACTATGACAGAATATAAAAAAGTACAATAAATGATACAGTATGACAGTTTGATTTGATGTAAGAGTGCGATAGGATTGGTGTTATAGTTGATATGAAATGATAATTAATTTAATTTGATATGATACTGAATAATCTTTAACAAAGGAATAACAAGGAAATGCACCTGAATCCTACTGGACCTTGCACAGATATATCCATAAAGTTAGTCATTTATAGAAAACTCTCAATAACATCATACAGGCCAACAGTCTGATAAACTCTATCCCTCACATCACCAGACTGTACAACTCTTTTGTGGGGAGGAGGAGAGGTAACAGGAGGACAGAGGACAGGAACAGTCATGTGCAAATGTCCATACCTTTATTTCGTACTGTCAGTATGTAAATACTCAATTTATCTGGAGTTTTATTATACCATTATGCTTTATAGGCCTCTCTCTATATTGTATCTTCATTACTTACTTATTGAACCATTCTGAGTTTTTTTTTTCTGTACATACTGATGCTGCTGAAATTTTGATTTCCTTGAGGGAACCGTCCCAAAAGGATCAATAAAGTTGTATCTTATCTAATCTAAATCAACATTCAGATATGAATATTAGGATGCTGTATTTGTCGTGAATCCACTCAGATAAGGCAACATCACTATGAAAATAACAAAATGACTGTAACACATAGAAGGTTAATAATCAGAGAGCATATACAGACTCAACTTGTGCTCTAAAATATATCTTTTTCTAATATATCTTCACAAGCTTCAGTTTTTCACCCCACCAATGGAAGCGTGGCCCCGACGTTTCACTCCGAACATAAAAAAGTTGAAACCGTATTTCAGCGCGCATCTGTTTTCCTCTCTTTTCACACTCTCTTTGCTCTTCTCTCTGTTCATCTCTGAGTAAAATTCACGTTCATGTGTGTGGCGTCCTGCAGCCGTGTTGATGGACAGAACACATGTTTTCCCTCCATGGTTGTTACAGCTGGTCGTGGCTTTGACCTGCAGCTGACCTGTTATTGTGCTCTGCAGCTGAAACTCAAGAACTACGAGTGAGTCATTAACACTGGTTAACTGTGTGTGTGTGTGTGTGTGTGTGTGTGTGCATGCGTGTGTGTGCGCAGAGAGATAAACATGTATCACTCAGTTACTACAACGCTTTATTATTTAGTACATGATGTCCCCTTTAAGAAGTCTGTGGTAAATAATGAATGCTTTATTTCAACTGCCATTTATTTATAGATAATTACATCAGTTGGAGTTTTTTGTTCTTTGCAGAGATTTAATATGATCACAATGGGACACAAAAGCAGCATAAGAGAAGTGCAAAAGAATATAAATATATACAAGTTGTCAAATAGTTGTAAAAATATCCTAAAGAGACGCACAAAACACTTAAAAATGCATGCAACAGAACAAAAAAGACATGCAAAAGACCAGACAGAGATGAATATGTGAACAAAAACAGACCATAAAACTGTTATTCTGCACAAAACTACCAAAAAGAGGTGCAAAGTGACCACAAGAGGATGCAAAACTACCGAAAGAAGATTCAAGATGTTTTTCAATACAGCAGCTAGAACTTTCTGCCTTTTTTAAAGTTTTTGTTTTGGAATGATTGTATTCTAAAAAGTGTTTGGAAAAAGTCCAAACTATGACTTTGAGTTTTTAAATGTGTGTTAAATGTTTTTCTCGCTGCATCACATAAAAAAAACTTGTTTTGGCTATGTTCACACTGCATCACTGTTATGATGCACAATTCGGATTTTTTGTCAAATCCGATCTTTTTCTGTGGTCGTTCACATTACATCAAATGCGGCATCTAATGTGAACAGAATGCATCTGTGATGTTCGTGTTGCCGAACAATGGTGACGTTTGTCGCATATTGATGACGTATAGGTCAGATGAACTTGACCTGAGCGTCCACACTGCAGTCACATCACATCACATCACATACATATCCAATTTATATCCACATACAAAAGAGGCCTGGGTAGGATTAGAAAAAATTAGAATTGCACTGTTCACACTTACATGAAAAAATCAGATATGTGTCACATATGGTTAAAAAATCGGAATTGACCTGCAGTGTGAACGTAGCGTTAAGGTCCTAAAGGGCCGACGCGAATATAGAATGCGAAATTTCGAAATATACCTGCCTGACTATACACATCAAGCCCAATGCGATTTTGCGACTTTCCGGGGGGGAAAAGACGCATCTGCGGGAAGACTTTTCCCGGGGAAAGTCCCGCCTCCTTCACCTCTGATTGGCTAGGAAAGCTGGAAACATCATCACACACTCAAGCCAAACTGTCAGCACTTACAGTCAATCAGAGGCGAAGGAGGGCGGGACATTCCCTTAACAACCTACAGTGTCCCGGCTGGAAGCGAGAGGACAAAAAGTCTACTTCAACTTCAAGTGATGGCGATTTGGTACTCCTTTTGCTTTCTCAAAAAAAAAAAAGTAACGTAGCACATGGGTGCATCCAATATTGCAAAAAGAAGAGAACTTGGTGATTTTCACTGCTCCTGGTTCAGGAGCTGAAACTGGACCACGGTCGCTTCAGAACCTATTTTCGGATGCCTGTTGGACAATTTGAAGTTCTGCTGAAACAACTAGCTCCAAGTTTGAAGGGGCAGAGGACTAGACACTAGAGATGGCTTTCTGTCATGATAGCATGTACTGAGTCGGGGCCAGTACCAGATAAGCACATGAAACTATGGTAACAACCGTTAGCTTACGTTAGCACAGATGAAAGTTAAAACAAAGACGTTTAGCAAACTGTTAAAGCACACAAACCATCGTCATATGAGAAATCCGACACTATGACTCTCCACAAGTTGTCCTTCAGGTCGTTAAACAATCAGCCAGTTGGCCATGTTGGATATAGCGGTGAATTTGACGTCACAACAACACACAATCTGATTGGTCAGAAGTGAACACACAGTATGCGAAACTTAAGAAAAATCTACCATGATTTTAAAAAAAAAATGCCGCACTATCGCAGGACAGGAAAACGTCCCTGATGTGAACGCTTGTATTGACAGGATACGGGTTCGGAAAAAAAATACTGATGTCCGAAATAATCTCACGAAAAAAAACGCTTCCGGTGTGAAAGGACCTTAACATGAAAAAATCAAATATGTGTCACATATGGTTAAAACATCGGAATTGACCTGCAGTGTGAACATAGCCAAAGAGGTGCAAAGTGACCACAAGAGGATGCAAAACAACTGAAAGAAGATTAAAGATGTTTTACAGCAACTAGAATTTTTTTAAAGTTTCTGTTTTTGGAATGACTGTAGTCCAAACAGTGTTTGGAAAGAAGTCCATACTCTGAGTTTGTGTGTTTAACGGTTTTTCACGCTGCATGACATATTTATTAAAGTATATCTACTTATTGATATTATTAATATTATTATTATTATTATTATTGTTATTATTATTGTTATTATAGATCAAGCTTCATCTAGGGGTCCTACATTGGTAAGCAAACCGCACATTGCACTTTGTTTCTGCATTTAATCTTATGCACTCTGATCATGCAAAAATACTGGTATGTCTGACATATGCTTTTCTTTTTACCTTTTAAATCATCTTTACTACTTTTTACCTTCTGAACTTTTTTTATGTAAATGCATTTTATTTTATTTCTTTTTATGATGTATGGCAGTGTTTTAAATGTCTGTGCCTGCTGCAACCTGATTCGCCCATTTTTGGGACATAACAAAGTTGAAGTGAAGTGATCTGACTTATCTCACCGTTTTGCTGATTTCACTTAATCAACCCTCCTCTATATGCAAGTCACTATTGTGTGAAATTTTGGCCCAGATTTGTCCCCTCCCAGGATCACGGGGTCAGAAAAGTGTCTCACTGCTCCTTTAAGGTCTAAAAGTGTCCTTTTTGTCCACCTAAACTCCTCCTCCTCCTCTGTGCGCCTCCTCTGCAAACAAACGGGATCAACCTGTTGTTCCTGATCCGGGATCAGTCCAGCTCGCTGCCATCGTGCTGCGCAGGCGCGGCAGCTCGTCGTCTGAACTGATCCGGGGTCTGTTTTGAACCCCCCCCCCCGCGCCGTGGATTCCGTCCGCCCCGCAGTCTTTTCCTTCCACTCCAGCCCCACTGTTTCCCACGCCTCCACACCGCGAGCCTCCACAAAAACGTCCCGAATCAGCAAAGATTAGAAAATGCGGAAACTGTCGATCCAGCGCATCGATCCTTGGAATTATGCATCTTTTAATCTGGATTAATGTGAAGGAATCGATGAGAAAAAGAGGCCTCGAGTTTTTCCACTGGACTAACTGTACGGAGCGAAACTTTTTGGACGGTGTGAAAACACGGCGTGTTTTTTTATCATGTCAGTGAGACCGAGCTGCTTTTGAGTGACTTTTTTTCTCTGTTATAGACCAGTTGGACCGTTTCCTCCCAGTGCAGAACTTTTTATGGACTCTTTTCTCTCTGGAAACACGATCAGACACGATTTCTCCATCTCAGGGGATCCACGCAAGAAAGTGACGCGTCCGTGAACGCATCAGGTAGCTAGCTAGCTCGTTAGCTAGCATTCTAAGGTACATTTTTATTCGTTATACTCACCTTTCGAAAAAGAGGCTCTTTAAATGAACTACAACTGTTGATGAAAAGTGTTTGTCTGATATTGAGCTGCTTGTTTTCTCCGAGATTTTTCAGCCTTCTCGGTTGTTTTTATTGAGTTGCGTTTACGTTCTCCTTGATGCTCGGGAATCTAAAGTTGAGAAATGTACCTTTTGATTACTGTGTGTTCACGGGATTTTAGTCGCAATGTGCAAACAACACTGATAACACAGAACGTTTTAATTTTGTTTTTTGATGCTTATGAGCTCAATTAGGCCACTTTGTATGGAAACTGACTTCTGATTTCTAATTTTTAACAAATTAAATGTGGCAAATGTGTTAAAAAAGCAAATAAAATGGACATAATAAAGGCATTTGTATGTAAAGTAATCTTTAACCATAGCCCGCCATTCTCCTAAGTCGGGTATCGCATTGAGAGTGACTCTAAGTGTGTTTTTGGACTGTGAAGCTGAATTTTCCGATTATTCCTCCAGCACGTGAAGGCGGGTTAACTCCAGTGTTAGCCGATCGAGCTAACGTCCAAACATGCCGCAGCTGAACGGGCCGGACGGAGACGACCTGGGAGCCAACGACGAGCTCAAAGTTTTTAAAGACGAAGGAGAACAAGAGGAGAAGAGGAATGTGGCCGCCGAACGGGACCTGGACGACGTCAAGTCCTCTCTGGTCAACGAGTCCGAGACCAACAGCAGCTCGGACTCAGAGGTGAGTTTTACAACGATCGGGAACTTTTATCGGGATCCTCGGTTAACCGACTCTCCGATCCTCCGCTCCTGCCCCCCCTCCGGTCTTTGTTTACGTTTGTGTTTGTGGTTTCTGCAGGCAGACAGACGCCCAAAGACAAATCCAGACCTGGAGACCCGGGCCAGGCAGAGTCTGCTGTTTGAAGAGGGTAAGGACTCAATCAGAACTTTCAGATTCTGGACAGGGTCTGAGTGGAAAGAAGCAGAGGAACTGTTTTTTATGGACCATGATGGTTTTATGTTGAATCACCAATCTATGCCAGATGTGAACTGGATCAGAATCAGGACTGATCCGGTTTAAATCATGGTCTTGATTGACATTTTTTAAATTTTAAAGTGCAGTGATTACAGAACTTTGTTTTGAGTTTGTTTGTACTTCTAGTTGGTGTAAGTTTTGTTGCTTGTCAATGGTAAAAGAAATTAATCATGTGACCAAATATTTAGGAGATGGTCATCAATTCATGGAGTCTGTGAAGGTTAGAAGCACAAAGGTGAAGGGGTTAGACATTTATAAAAAAAAAAAAAAAACATTTTTTGAATTTAGTCTGTCACAAGTTTGATTAAAATTGTGTTCAGACCAAAAAAGATCATTTTAAATGAGTTTTATACATCGATTGTGGTATCTATGAGCTACAACATGAGGCCAAAAACCTAACATAAAAGTCCACTATTTTAGTTTAGAGGACTAATAAAGTCATCATAGTAGTTCTGGGGTAAGTTGACCATAGGAGACCACTTTTTTGTCATGCTATATTATCAAGATTACAGTTCTGTTTACACTCATTCTGTTGGTTTGCAGGGATGAACAACATCATAAAATATCTGCAGATACACTAGTTAGAGACAAAACTAGGATTGACTTGATGGAGTGACCCTAAATATGAAACACGGATCATCTTACTCCACTCTCCCATAATTGGTCTTTATGGACCATGATGGTTTTATGTTGAATCACCAATCAATGCCAGATGTGAACTGGAGCCTAATCAAGACTTATCCAGTTTAAGTCACGTTCTTGATTAACATGTTTTCTTTTTAACCCTAGCACACTTTCGCTAAAATTAGTAACACCATTACTATCGCCAAAATGATATACCCCAGAAAAGGTACTTGTCATCAAAATAGGACAATACATGACAAAGTAAAGTAGTTTTCTTTTATTTATAACTGTGCAATGTCCAAAAGGAGGAAAAAAGTGACATAAGGGGACCATATAAAAATGCAACAAAATAACTGAAATTAGGCATTCATCAACAAAAAATTTCTAAAAGAAAGAAACTGTAGACTTATTTTCCAAAACTGATTCCAAAACTTTGTTTAGAGTACTTCTAGTTGGTGTGAGATTTGTTCGTCTCAGATTTTCTTTACTGAACAGGTAACAGGAGTACGTTTGCTTCTGAGTTTTCATCGTTGGAGTCTATTCAGTCTCAGGTCCTGACATTGTCTGGACTTTTCCTCTCACACATGTCATATGAAGTGAGAGATTATCCACACTAAAGGGGTTCTTAACCCCTGGAGTTATGCTGCATTCATGTGCTCCTCAGGAGGTCCCACATGCCTTCACTGTAGAGTTAGGAAATATCTCTGAAGCTATTACACTGGACCTGTTATTAAACATTTAATGCCATAGTAATAAGTTTACCCCGTATGGACAGCAATTCATGGTAAGATTACAGTTTACATTTGACCAACAGAACATGGATGAGCAAAAAGCTTCTCCATTAGAATAAAACCTTGTTAATCAGGGATGTTGAGGACAAATATGATGTCTCCTGCACCATATCCAGGCAGGGTTAGTCCGTTTGGTCTGGTAGAGCATGCATAGAGAGGGTACATTTAAGTGGAGGCAACTATTGTCACAGATTTACTGCAGACAATCATCCACTGAGCGCTTGTTTCGTACTTTAGCTCCCGCGATGTTAGCGTTTGGAGACCGTCTGTAGAAACCAGCAGTCGCTGTAGCTGCAGTTCCACATCAGAAAAACCTCTGCCCAGGTTTTGGTTTTGGTTTGTGTTCCCATCGTTACAGAAAAAGGTTGGTTACACTAAATCACATGTGCAGGTGAAGTTGGAACCTTAAATTGAAAACTTGCAGACAGGGGTTTGGATTAATTTGCTGTTTGTAATGACACTTGATGAAGCAGGTCAGCGGCACCGCTCGGTTTCTCTCGAATCCACTGCAGAGGTCCAGAGGTTTGAAGGTACTGAGGCAGGTCAGGGTCTTTCTGGTTGTTTTTTCCATGTCGATCACATTGAACCGCTCCAGATGAAGCTGTTATTTTTGCTACAGCGGCCAGTGAAACTTTTCTCACCGTTTTTCAACTTGAAAGCATCATGGGGTTTTTATCTGCTCCACATCTGCTCTGGTTGAATTACAGTGTCCAGCCCTGCTGTCCTGATAAGCTTCATCCAAATACCAGTTACTCACCACCATCACAGGGTAACTGGTTCCACTGGTCTCACCAAAAGGACAGACTTGTTGCCCCTCTGCTATGAGGAACTTTTCCTCCTCACCCTCATGAAGGAACAACGTGTTCGTATAGATTTACATGGTAAAGTGTCTGACCTCCTTTATAGCGGTGAGTTGAGGTCAGACCGAGACTTTTAAAAACCTCTGGAGGAAACTCTGACACATTCACCGTCTGAAAACAAAATAATTTACGTTTAAAAGCATCATGAAAAACATGAAGGTTTTTAGTCTCTCTTGCGCCGTCAGTTTGTTTTAACTCTCGGTCATTCACCGGAACTGACACAGTGATTTTCCTCTGAAATTCAACCATGACTGGCGGCGTCCAAACAGATTAAAGAGAAAACCTCCCACACTCTCTGATCAGGTTTTTGATATCTGAGGCAGAGATATCAAAGGATCGCTATTAGAGAGTCGGTGAGCGCTGCGCCCCGCAAACACACCTGCATTCCTGCTAAATACCGTCAAACTTTATCTCCTGACTTCATAATGAAGATCTTTTAACTTTGAGCTGGGTCTAACTTTCTGAGGTTTTCTGATCCTGGTAGATCAGGATCAGACCTGTTCTGTTGGTGTCAAAGAAGTGAGAAGATGGTCGAGCGGTTAAAAGTTTGTTAAAACTTCTCATTAAAAAATGATAATGACAGAGTGTTAAAGGTGCTCTTTGTACGGGGGTTGTACATCTAATGTGTCGGAGCATTTCCTTCAACATGACGTGAGTTTTAGGGGTTGGACTTTATCCGGCGTGCCGCCGCCGTTTCGCAGAAATGTCCCAAACACAGCGAGCAGAAACTGGGTTCACTCTGATGACTAATGGAAGTTCTCTTTATTTCCTGTTTTATTCCAGGGTTGATAAGCAGAACCAGAACCTGAACCAGTCTCTGAGTTAAATAATAATTCTCTCTTCATGTGTCTCTGACGTCAATATGTTTCTGTTTTCTCAGCTCTGAGGAGGCGACAGGAGGGAGGTCTCTTTGCCCCCTCCCCCTATGTCGGCTATCCCCTCTTCATGTTCCCGGACCTGGGGAACCTCTGCAGCCCCTACCTCACCAACGGAGCGCTCACACCCGGCGCCAGGACGGTAAGAAGACAAAGTCACATCAAATCCACTCACATGCAGATGGTTATGATAGTTTTGAGGTGATGACCAACTTTTAGCTTTTACCTTCACACCAACCCGTTCCTGTTTTTAAAATCTGTTCTGACACTTTATGGAGTCAAATATTTACATGAAACCAAAAAACATGATCTTTAATTATATTAAATGTCCCTTTTCTTAAAAAAAATCAACATTGATCAAAGTTTGTTTTGGCAGATTTCTAAAATCAAACTCTGAGGTAAACTTCAGCTCCACTCTCTTTGTCATGAACTCATTTGTAAACCTTTAAATGAGAAGTTATAACAGAAAAAGGACACATTCATAAAAATAAAAAAAAACATTTATAATGAACAGATGAACAAAAAAACATCTCCTTTAACAAAATCCAAACATGTGAGGATGTATGCAGCTCAGATCTCCTCAATCAGGTGACCTACATCTGCCAAACCTCCATCATATTCCTTTACTGGTTGAGGAAAAACAAGGATGTAGATTTGAAGGTTTTCAGGAGTCCACATGAAGAAAACCAGAACTGATCAGAACCCCTACTCCTTCTGGGAGTCAAATCCAGTTTGGAAGGTCTGAGTCCGGATCTTCAGACCTGGTTGTTTCGCAGAGACGCTGACATCATGATAATGAAGTCGTTCTCTCAGCCGCAGGTTCAAGCTGCTTCACATTGTTTTGCAAATATAGACCTGGTTACCACTGACTCACCATTGTCCTGAGAGCTGCCTTTGTGCATTTATGTGTGTGTGTGTGTGTGTGTGTGTGTGTGTGTGTGTGTGTGTGTGTGTGTGTGTGTGTGTGTGTGTGTGTGTGTGTGAGAGAGAGAGACAACAGCCTGCAGCCTGTTATGATAAGGTGGTGTGTGATGGTACAGGGTTAGACAGGCCTGGACTCGGTCTGCAGCAGGAATGAGCTCTGTGCTGAGCTGCAGATTAGCTGCTGCTGCTGCTCCACGCTCAGATTGACAGCCTGTTGCCCAATTTCCCGTTCCCTTAAGCTTTCTGGAGGCTCAGCCCGGATTATCTGGATACTGTCTGATGGTTTCATACAGTAACACTCATCACAACTAATCTAAAAAGTGCCTGGTTGGCACAGCAAGAGTGCAGAGATGGTTCAGAAGAAGGCTGTGGAGGTCTGTGACTCACTGCTTCAGGGGTGTTCTGGTTCTGTTCTGACACACATCCTCTGGTTCAGACAGACTCTGAGTGAGGGGTCAGCTAAGGTGGTTTTGGACGTTTAGGCTCATGTGAGCTGACTGAAATGTCTGAAGGGATGAGAACTGAAGATCTTACTGATCTTATTGCTTCTGTTATCAATGATGGTGCCTTTAAAGATCAGCTGATCGTAGGTGCAGCCTCTGATTGGTAAAAAAAAAAAAATCAGGACAAAGTGGTATCAGATAAGACTTGATCACTAAACTCTGTGCTTAGAAATACTCTGGGCTGTGATGTAGGGCTGGGCGATAAACCAAAAATGTACAGATACCGAAATTTACGACAATAACCAATGTCAATTTGCCCATATCGGTACATTTGGTGTCAAAAAACTCAATAAATCAAAGTTGGTTTTGGATGTAACCGGTAATTTATTGATGGTCCCTCATTCAACACCCGACGTTGACAGCGAGGGTGCCGAGTAGATTTAACTGCGCTGCTGTTGTTATTCCTGGTTATGGAGAGTGAGAAGACACCAGTAGATCTTTAGTAAATGTCTGTCAAATATCCAACCTAAAACTAACTTCACAGCCGTATTTACATGAAAAAACATTTGTTGACTCGGCTGATCTTTTTTAAATGTGCACATGTGACCCTAAATACATTTTGGAATTCACACACATCTATTTTTAGTCGCTAATACAAGTGAAACTGTCACACTGTCAAGCCCTGGTGTGTGTAGGTAGGCTATGGTCTCATGTCAGAGATGTGACTCCGCCCCATCCAGTCAGTAACAAAGAGGGGAAGACAGGTGAGGAGATGGAGGACAGTTCAAAAGTTGTAGCGGCTGAAGTAGAGGAAGTTAATGTGGGAGGGGGTGAGCAGCTTGTGGAGTAGTTATCGTCCATTTATCGTCAATATATAGTGATATTGATTTGAGGCCATATCGCCCACCCTGACTGCAGTGCCTCCTCTGCTGCCTCACGCTGATTTTGAAGAGTAACAGCCGCTCCGCTGCCCCGGCGTTGTCTTGAAGAAGCAAAAATACTCCCATGAGGTCTTGCTCAGGTGTGTGTCGTTGTGGATTTCTGCTCAGGGTGGCTGTGATTGCAGCACACCACCTCCAGTTTTACAGAAAATCATTTCCTGAAGTCGAAGCTTTTTATTCGATGGTCAGGTTACAACAAGGAGAGGGAGCTGATTGGCTGCTGGACAGTGTGTTTGGAGCTCATTAAGGTTCAAATATGAACTGTTTTACCTCGTGGAAACTCAAATTTAGGACAAAAGTGAGACCTATATGTCCGTATGTCCTCCTGGGGGGGTCATTACAGTAATATAAACGTGAAAAACCTGCTGAGTCAAAAGTCTTTTCTGAGGTCTTCACACTCGTCTTGGTTTCTCTTCACTCTTCTGGTTTGTTGTGAAAGTCTTGAACCCAGACACGCACGCATGCACGCACGCACGCACACACACACACACACACACACACACACACACACACACACACACTCTTTCTCACACCTGCATTCCTCAGCTTTGTAAGGCCCTCCCCCTGTGTTAGTGGGTCATTGTTGTCATTAGCAGCTCCTGAATGGTCCTCATGCATGGCTCCACAGGGGTGTCGTTACACCTCATTATACCCAACACACTGCCTGTGGCTTCTGCGGACACACACACACACACACACACAGGTTTCCACTGTGGCCGTCTGGATGATTGTTTGTGCTCAGACTGCATGTTGTCTTGAGACAACACGGTCACTCCTCCTCCTCCTCTTCCTCCTCCCTCACATTTCTCTGCACACAATGGAGAGCTTGTGTACTCAAAGATGGAGCGTTAGGTGTGTTTATGGGGGACACAGGAGGAGGACATGCGCCTGCCAGTCTGAAGGCGAGTCAAGGTAAACAAGCCACGGTTAGCCGGACGCTACCTGAACCATAATACAGGCTGTTTACTGTGAGAGCGGGCAGGAAGCAGGAGGCTGCAGGGAGACAACCTGTCTGCCCGCTCCTCGCTCAGCCCCCCCTCCTCACCTGACACCCAGTCTCTGTGGAGGGACTCTTCAACCTGGATTAGGAAACAAAAGGAGGAAAGACAGAAAAAACAGAGAAGCAGAGAAGAAAACAGGAAAAGTGATCGGACTGAAAAAGAGAGAGGAGACCTGAGGAGGGGAAGGAGAAGGGGGTCTCCAAATACCCTCCAGAGAAATTCAGAGTAGTAAAAATGAGAAGCACAGACTCAGGTAAGCGTCCAGGTGAGTCTGTTCCAGTTTACACCCTCTCTCTGGTGTGTTTACATTTACATTTTTTAACCTGTTCGTGTTAAAGACTCCAAACTTTTCAGAAATAACCTGAAGAAAATCCTCCCACCTGTCCACCGCAGCGCTCAGCTCAGCTCAGCTGTTTACACTTCAGTGTGTGTGTGTGTGTGTGTGTGTGTGTGAGTTTGAACCATGAAGTGTAGAGGAAAAAGAGCTGAGCTTACTCTAAAACTCAGTCATGCACACAGTCACTCAAACACACACACTCAGGTGTGACTCTATACCTGTGTCACACCCGAGCAGCAGTGAATGGTCTGAGCAGAGCAGAGATAAGCTGTAGGTGTGTGTGTGTGTGTGTGTGTGTGTGTGTGTGTGTGTGTGTGTGTGTGTGTGTGTGTGTGTGTGTGTGTGTGTGTGTGTGTGAGTGGAGAGACGTCAGGCGTCACGCTTTCAACTCCTGCTCTGTTGTAAAGGTCCGTGTTGACAAAGCCGACCATCTGTGTGTGTGTGTGTGTAGCTGGGCTCTCTCTTGTTTAGTTAAAGTTGCTCCCTTTCAGCAGAGTGAACAATCCCAGAATTCCTCTGTTTACTCCACATTGTCTCTGGAGTCTTAAAATACCAGGAGGATGACCCTGCTGAAAAAACAAGTTCAAACATACATACATGCAAACAGAGACACACACACACACACACACACACATATGTCATAGATTAACAGTTAGCTGACAGCTCCTGAGTGGGTCTGCAAGATCTGAACTAACCTCTAAACCGGGACAGATGACTCACTTCTCAGACTTTGAGTTTTGGATCAGGGTGTCAGGAAAACCTGACCCTGGAGTTTCTGAGCAGACCCCCCTGAGTACATGTAACCCCCCTGCTGATATATATGCTGTTCATTTATGAGATTTTAACCCTTTAACTGCTGAATCCTTCGTTTTTAATCTGAGCTGTTTGTCCTGAATCAGTCTGTGCTGAACTGGTAAGGTCCTCTGTGTAGGGCTGAGCGATAAAACGATAACGAAATATATTGAAAATCAATTTCCCTCAATATCAATTTAAAACATGGTCAATATGCTTTCCGATTGTCGACATTCTGCCATGTTTTGGTAGACTATACAAATAACCAATGAAAAGAGGAGTTGCTTAGGGTCCGCTTTAGGCCGAACCATTCATGTGCTGAATTAGAACCAAGTATCAAACAACTGTGTTGTAGCAGACAGCAGCTACACCCAACCATAGCACTTAAACAGGTGAAGCCGACAGCACTGTTGGTGAGAAAAAAAGAACATGAGTGCTACCCCGACAGAAATGACCACGAAGGCTCAACAGATGACGACATCGTTGAGAACAATGGTACGAAAATGTCGGTGGTGTGGAGGTATTTTGATTTTTTGAGGCCGGACATGAAGCAGAGTAATGTGTACTGTAAATTATGTTGAGTACATGTTCTCACAAAGTCGGGGAATATCTCAAACCTTTTTCCCCACCTGAAGCAGCGCCATGCCACAGAGCATGCGCAACTCAAAAGGTTACAAACCCCGAGAGGACCAAGGAGCCCATGGCGCCTGTGCGGCCGAAACAGCTGACCATTCAGTCCACTTTCTCTAGTGCAACGCCGTACGACAAAATGTCTAAGAGACACAAAGACCTCACAGATGCAGTAGATTATTGTATTGGAAAAGACATGCGACCAATAAACACTGTTAAATTTCATTTTTTATATTGTGATATATATCAATATCGACTGATATGAAAAAAATATATTAGGACAAACTTTTTTCCGTATCGCCCAGCCCTACCTCTGACTATCATTTTAACATTTACAGGGCTTCTCTCTTTCTCTCTCTCTCTCTTTCTCTCTCTCCCTCTCTCTCTTGCTCTCTCTGTCTCTCTCTCTCTCTCTCCCCCTCCCCCTTATTACACTCTTACTTTTCAGTGCAGTCTTTCGTAAACTGCAGTCAGCCTAATAAGTTCCCCCCCAGAGTCACACACTGATTTTATGCTTCCCTCAGTAATAGTCTCTGATTGTGCAGGAGTGTGTGTGTGTGTGTGTGTGTGTACATAGATTTCCTGGTATTTCCAACAGCTGGATCCAGTTAGTCTCTCAGCCAGAGCTTCCTCGGGCCTCAGAGCGGGGGGATGAGGCTGCATTGTGGAGTAAAATCTGTGTGTGTGTGTGTGTGTGTGTTCATGTTCAGGAGGGTTCGAAATAGTCATGGGGGTTTTCTCCAGCAGAACAGGGACGTTTGCACAGGCAGGTTTTTGAACGTGGTCTTTGGATCAGAATAATTCAGAGTGTTTTAGTCCGGCTGTAATCCAGTCCCTCTGTGGACTAAAAAACTGGTTCCTGTGCAGAGAAATGAAATTCCTGCAGACTTCTCCAAACCCTGATCCACTTCAGCAGGAGCATCATCACCATATTTATAGGCAGGAAACAGCAGCCTGACCTCTGACCCCTGTTTACCATAGACTGGTGCTGCTGGGACTGCTGAGTAAACCGTGTCCTGATCAGTTCATGTTTACAGTTTTAATGATCTGCCCTGATGTTCCTGGACTTAACACCGGACCCCTTTAGAGACCAGAGGAACGACAGTTGTTCTCATTGGTGGATTGGTGTTTCTTTAAAGGCCGCTTCCGCAGTCCAGTCCTCCACCTGTCTCCTCTCTGCTCATTTCATCCTCATCAGTATGTGTTAGTGTTGTGTAGTTCATGAACGATTTGTTCGAAAGAACTGCTGAGTGAACGACGTGAACGAAATCACTCTGAGACCTGATTCGTTTCTTTCTCAGTTCAGTTGAGCTCAGCCATGAGCCTGACGTGCCGGTTGGGAGTGGAACTGCCACCTTTGGCTCTTTGATGAACAACACACAGAGCGCAGGCGGGCAGACTCCCATGATTTGCTCAAAGCGAATAAACAACATGTGTCAGTCAGACTGTGAACAAAACAAACGACTTCTGAACGACATAATGCAGGCAGAGGAGGGAGGGGTGTAGTGTCGTTCATTTCCTGCAGAGCAGCGGTTCGTTTACTGAGGCTCAGGCTACGTTCGCACTGCAGGTTATGATGCACAATTAGGATTTTTTGTTAAATCCAATCTGTTTGTGCGGTCATTCACATTACAACAACAAATGCGGCATCTAATGTGAACGGAATGCGTCCGTGAAGTGACCCACATGCGCACAAAGCACAAATTGCTTTCCGCGCCTGTTTGTGTTGTCGAACAGTGGTGACGTTTGTCGCATATTGATGACGTATAGGTCGGATGAACACGACCTGACCATCCACACTGCAGTCACATCGGATACATATCCGATTTATATCCACATACAAAAGAGGCCTGGGTCAGATTTGAAAAAATCTGAACTGCACTGTTCACACTTACATGAAAAAATCAGAAATGTGTCACATATGGTTAAAAAATCGGAATTGACCTGCAGTGTAAACGTAGCCTAAGATAAAACAGGTTACTGGCAGGATGAGGCTCCGAAGCACTAACTGATTTAGTGAACAAATCTTTTGAACGAATCGTACAGTGAACGGATTCTAAAGATTCAGTACAGTCCTTTGACATTTGTTTGGAAAGGACAACTGGACTTACTTCAGACGTATCGCCCTAGTCACTGATTCAGTGAACGAATCTTTTGAACAAATCGTTTCAATGAACAGATTCTTAAGAATTAGTACAGTCCTTTGACATTCGTTTCGAAAGGACAACTGGACTTACTTCAGACGTTTCGCTAGATGAAAGTCAGAATTATGAACAAATCTTTTGAACAAATCCTGTCAATGAACAGATTCTAAAGATTCAGTACAGTCAAAAGAACGGCTAAAGATCTGCCTCAGGATCTGGCTCATGGCGGTTATTTTAGATGTTGTGTTTCTCCACCAGCATGACGATCACTCTTTAAGTCAAACTCAAGTATCAGGGTCCACCAGAAAGTTCACACCTTCCCTGACCTCTCTAAACCGTCCAATCAGAGGACAGAGTCTGGTCAGTGTGAGACCTCAGACCGCCCTCCTTTCTCCTCTGTTCAGGGGTCAGAGGTCACACATGTGAGTCTGTTGACGTCACTCACAGTTCAGTGAGCCCCAAAGGCTTCTTTTCTGTGTGTGTGTGTGTGTGTGTGTGTGTGTGTGTGTGTGTGTGTGTGTGTGTGTGTGTGTGTGTGTGTGTGTCCCAGTTTCAAAGGACATGGTAGTTTCTGGGTGTAAATGTGTGGAGGGGACTGGGGGGACAGGGCGAGGTAAACGCTCTGGACTCTGTTCTTTGTCTGAGTTGAGATGCAGATACCCCCCCCCACACACACACACACACACACACACACACACACACACAATCCTCAAACTGAGCATGCTCCTGAGATGTTCATTATGTTTAAATGGACGAGTGTGTGTGTGTGTGTGAGAGTGTGTGTGTGTGTTCATTTGTTGATATGGGTGTGTGACTCTGTGTGTGTGGGTGTGTGGGTGGCTGTGTGTTTGTGTCGGTAGCAGGAATGTCAACATATGTGAGATGAATCAGATCAGAGCGTGTTATCTCACCTGGTATCAGGTGTGCGGATCGGCTTGAACAACAATATCCTGCTCTGTCCGCCGTTTCTGGAAGGTTCTCCTCACGTAGAGGAAAAAAATCCTGTTAAGAGGAGGTTCAGGGTTCACCAGAATTTCCTCTTCTATCACCATGACGACCATGAACCCAAGAAAAGTCTGTGAATATTTACAGAATACAGAGTTATTTAAAGAGGAGGAGGAGGGAGGTGTGTTTTTGTGAATCTGAGGCGGCGTTAGCATGACAAGATGAAGACGCTGTAGTGTAGAATTCCTCAGGCCATTAGGTGCATAGGACCATATTCCGGGTGGTGAAGTCCATGTGGACCCACTCAGGGATTATTACCTCTGCCAAGGAGGTTATGTTTTCGGTAGCGTTGGTTGGTTTGTTTGTTTGTTTGTCTGTGAACAACTTTACAGAGAAAGTTACAGACGGACTGACCTGAAAATTTCACCAGATGTGCGTCTCAGCCCAAGGACGATCCCATTACATTTTGGTGGTGATCCGGATCGCCTTCTGGATCCAGGAATTTTTTGAAGGATTCTTTATCATTGTGAGATAGGGCAAATTTGGGAATTTTTGCATTTTTCTCTATAAAAATGGTCAGAGTCTTCAGTAAAAAATTACACAAAAGGATCTTAATGAGTTTTATGAGGTGTCAAAGGTTGATCCTGATCCAGACAAAATTCCGGATACTGTGATCCAGAACACACAAAAATAAGGGTGTCGTTGGAATTTTCAATGCTGAAAGATAACCAATGTGCGGCACAGTGGTGTAGTGGTTAGCATTGTCGCCCCACAGCAAGAAGGTCCTGGGTTTGAATCCGGGTCAGGGCATTTCTTGTTTTAGGAACATTATGAACAGTGAACATTCCAGTTTAAACACAAATAAAAATTAATAAAAGACAAGTAACACTTAAAGCTTTGGTGTGAATCACAATATAAAGGGGGACATGAGCTGCTTGGCAGAGGTCTGCGCTCTCCGAGTGCTTTTGTAGTACTTATGAGAGATTCTTAAAATAAACCATAGAAAAATTCATAAAAAGTGAAATGGTGGTGCAGAAGTCTACATATCACTTGTTGTGGGAATAGTTTCATTAAAGGAAACGCTCTCTTTCTGACGTCTGTGTTAAAGGTCTCTCTCTCTCTCTCTCTCTCTCTTTCTCTTTGTCTCCACAGTATCTCCCGTTTCAGTGGCCTCTGCTCGACGTCCCCAGAAGAGCCGCTATGAGAGACTCAGCAACTCCCACACACCTGGTAACTCTAACCACATATTTAACGAGCCTGTACTGAGGTGGTCCGGTTTACCGAGTGGTCCAGAACCAACTCTTTAGTTTCAGATTTTAAAGTTATCAAACCAGAGTTGAACTCTGAACAGGTGAATGACTTGAATGACTGAACAGGTCTTTGATTTCCAGGTTATTCCATCAGATAAGGCGCCGTTCTCACAGCCTTAATGTTTTGATTCAGATTATTAGTCAGATATTCGCCTCGTCTGCGAGATAAACTTCTTCTTGTTTGTGTCGCCTTCCTTGAGTGTCGTGATTTCCCATGAAACAGCTTCCTGGATCGTTTTTACTTCCTTCTAGAAAATCTTAAACGATGTCTTTCCTGTATGTTTCACAAGTGGAGAGAGAGTAAGGGAGGACAACTTCCTTTTTCGGTCTGCTGAACACGGCAGCTGACCCCTCGCTGCCATCACCTGATTTCAACTAGAAATAAAAAGAAGTAAAAATACATGAACTGTCCCTTTAAAACACAGACATCAAACCATCAGTCTGATCCTGATCAGTTTTTTAACATTTCTCTAAAATCTCTCAAGTCCTAAATTGATCTGCTCTCAGTCCTGATCAGTCAGAGGAGCTGGAATACTGCCCCCTGGTGGACAGATCGCTCTGCTACACCCCCTCTGAGCTCCTGTCTTCCTTATTTGTTCACAGTCTAATAATGTGTCCATGGTGCAGCACCCTCACATGACCCACCTCCACCCGCTGCTGCCCTACGGCCCAGAGGCCTTCTCCCCTCAGAGGGCCTCACCTGGTTTCTCACCTGACGCAGGTAAGTCCCTCCGCCGTCACTTTCTCCTCCCTCCTCACAGACTTCTTCGGTAACATTTTACAATAACCATCAGTTATAAATGGTAAATAGAGAGTTTATAAAACTGTCTATTAATTTAAAAAAGAGCTGTAAGTTAATAGTTACCATTAACAAGCAATAAAATTATGATTAATAATTAGGGCCCAACCAATATGGATTTTTTGGGGCTGATGCAGATTACATATATATATATAATGTACTGTAGGCTACTGCTCTTCATGCCGACAAGAAGACCGACTGATCAAACTCGGACCAGAAAAGCGTTTTCAACAAGATTCTCATGAGGTCGCTGCACCATCTACAGGATAAGTCGGGAAACTTTTCAAATGGCGGAACATTTTCAAAGTGAAATCGAATCTTATTTTCCACATTTTATTTCTGAAAATATTGGCAAAAATCAGCTAATTTTGGACAATTACCAAGTAGTCTCAAAGTGGCTTCAATTGGCCAATTTCTCGCCGACAAATCAGTCAGGCCCTATGAATAATTTTCATGTATTGGTTTAAATATTGGTTGTAAAAGAACAAATTTAAAATTGTGTCAGTAGAACTTGTTGTGGTTTATATTTGGTTTATAAACCATCTATAAACATTACTGAGATGGTTAGGGTTAGGTTTTTAAAATTGTAAAATTTACAATTTATTAATGGTCTATAGACTATTTATAAATTATGATTCAACATTAATGAACTATCTGCTTACCATTTATAAATTGTCGCTTTTACCATTTATGTTATGGTTATTGTAAAGTGTTACCACTCCTTCATATTATCTGAGTTGATAAGTCTGACCTGTGTGTACCTGTGTGTTCTCACTTGTGCTGCAGGTATGTCCAGGTCCCCCCACACCCCCTGCTACCCAGTCTCGCCTGGAGGTATGGCTCAGATCCCCCACCCTCTGGGACTGCTGTGAGTAAAACACAAAGACACAAACAGTTCGAACCTTTGGAAGACCGCAGCACAACTGACTCTGTGTGTGTGTGTGTGTGTGTGTGTGTGTGTGTGTGTGTGTGTGGGCATGTGTGTAGGCAGGGACAGTCTATGTATCCCATTGCAGGTGGATTCTCACCTGCCGCTCTGGCCATGAACCCCTCCATGCCCAGGTGAGTGTTTGTCTCTCAGAAGGTAAAGACATCTGTCCTCTAGACTGAATTCAAACGTTTACCTAATGTGTGTGTGTGTGTGTGTGTGTGTGTGTGCACCCTGCAGCCTGGTGTCGGGTTTCTCTCCACGTTTGGTGCCGACCCCTCAGTCGTCCATCCCTCATCCCGCCATTGTCACCACGGCAGTGAAGCAGGAGCCCGCAGCGAGCAGCCAACCAGGGTGAGTCATAGGATCACATTTATTTCTGTTCGTTCGACGTTGGGTAAAATCAGCTGATAAATCAAAACATTATCACCATGGTAACCTGTGATGTCACCCCGCAGGAAGTCGGCGTCTGACTCCCAGAAGCCAGAGAGAGAAGAAGAAGACAAGAGGCCACACATCAAGAAGCCTCTAAACGCCTTCATGCTCTACATGAGGGAGGAGAGACCCAAAGTGGTCGCTCAGTGCAAAGTGAAGGAGAGTGCCACCATCAACCAGATCCTGGGACAGCGGGTCAGTCAATGTGTGAGAGTGTGTGCAGAAGTGTATGAGAAAGAGTGTGTGTTTGTGTTGAAGTGTAAATGTTATCATTTTATCATTTATCATTATTAATATCATCATTTTATCATTGATCATTATCAGTATTGTCTTACCACTAATCAATTTCAATATAATCATATCATAATTTATAATAAGTTTTATCATATTATCATCTATAATAAACAATATTGTCTTATCATTTATCATTATCAATATTATCATTTATCAATGTCAGTATTATCATACAATCATTTATCATTTTTAATATTATCACTATATCATTGATCATCATCAATATTATAATTTTATCATTATCAATATTGTCTTAACATTTATCATTATTAATATTGTTGTATTATCATTTATCATGATCAATATTATCATATTATTTATCATTATCAATGTTATAATTCAATCATTTATAATCATCAATATTATCACTTTATCATAAGTATTATCGAATGATCATATCATTATCAATATTATTATTTTATCATTATAAGTTTTATCAATTTATCATTATCAATATTGTTTTATCATATTATTAATCATTATCAGTATTATAATTCAATCATTTATCATTATTATTTTTTTCATTAATCATTATAAGTATTTGCACATTATCATTTATCATTATCGGTATCATCATTTTATCATTATCAGTATGATAATATTATCATTTATCTTTATCAATATTATCATTTATCATTATCCTTTTATAATTTATCAGTCTTAGCATTTACATTTATCATCATATTATCATTATCAGTATAATCAATTGTACCATTATCAATATTATAACTCCATCATATATTATTATCAATATTATAATTTTATAATTTACCATCAATATCATAATTTTATCCTTTATCACTATCAATATTATATCATTTTTTATTATCATATTTTCATTTGTCATTATCAGTACTATCATATTTTCATTTATCAATATCAGTATAATCATATTATCAATTTTTTGTTTTCAGTATTATCATATGATCATATTGTCATTATCAGTATTATCATATTTTCATTTGTCATTATCAGTATTATCATATTTTCATTTATCAATATCAGTATAATCATATGATCATTTTTTTGTTTTCAGTATTATCATATGATCATATTGTCATTATCATTATCATCATTTTATCATTTGTCATTATCAGTATTATCATATGATCATGCTCAGAATGAGAATCTGTGTTTCCGTCTACAGTGGCACTCACTGACCAAAGAGGAACAGGCCAAATATTATGAGATGGCTCGAAAAGAAAGACTCCTCCACTCCAAACTTTACCCCGGCTGGTCGGCCCGAGACAACTACGTAAGTTTATCAGCTGACTCACACATAACCACACATCCTGTAATAGACTACACCACAGTCTGTCAGTCTTACAGTAACATTACGGTAATGTTGTTTTTGTTCAGGGAAAGAAGAAGAAGAGGAAGAGGAACAAAAGTGAAACTCAGCTGGGAGGTGAGAGTGCAATGATGGGGATGTTGATGATAAAGATGATATGAAACCTCAGGAGGGGGGCGCTGTAACATTCTGAGTTTAAACTGATTTAAATGGTTTTCAAAGATCAGAGTTTCATCAACAAAACCAGGACCAAGGAGACCCTGAGACCCTGTCCTGTGTCCTGTGACCAGCTGATGTTTTCTCACCTGTACCTGACGTGTTTTTGTGTGTGTTTGTGTCTCAGGTCCTGATGAAGACCTCCCCCTGCAGCTGAAGAGACCCCGCCCTCCCCCGGAGGAAATCCCTCACACACACACCCCACACACTCAGCCCGCACACACACACCCCCGCTCCACACTCACGCAGCCTCACACCACCCCTCACCTCACGCACACACACCTGTCCCAGGCCAGCCCTGCCTCCTCGCTGGACTCCCCGGCGACGCCCACCACCGCCCTGGCATCCCCCGCCGCCCCAGCGCCAACACACACCGAGCATACACACTCCTCCTACAGCGGTCACATGTCTCCGTACGGCGAGCAGCTGCAGCCGCTCTCCCTCACCACCAAACCGCACCGGACCCCCCACCCTCTGAGCCGCACCACCATCACCCCCGGACCCTCCACACCCTCCTCCTCCTGTGACACCCCCACCCCCTCACCCCTCATGGCCTCCTCCAGGTGTTCACCTCCTCCCCCTCCCCCTCCTCCCCCTCTGCCTTTCTTAGTCCCACCCCCTACCTCCTCTCACCAATCAGCTGCCAGCTCCCACAGTGCCTTAATCCAATCACAGCCCTTCTCTCTCAGGAGAGCCAATCAGCTGTGAGTGTCTCCTGAAATCCAATGAAAATAAATCATGATGTGTACCTCCTCCTCCTCCTGCTCCTCCTCTAACGCTGTAAATATGCCTCCTTTTTTAAACTTTTTTATAGATGGTTCACGTTTTATATTTAGTATGAAAAGGACAAATAATTGGTCAATATTTGACTGCAACGCTAACTTCTTCATCATCAGACGGTGTATTTTTGAAATCTCACTTTTTCTACTTACTTTTTATGAATGATCATCTTGTTGTGGCACAGGGGTTTGTGTATTCCTTTAAAAATGTGTTTTTTTTTTTCTTCTTCACCACGTAGTAACGAATGTTAATCTATTTTCTGGTTCCTCCTCCTCTCTGTTAATAAATATCCACTGAGTTCTCAAACTTTGGTGACGGGTGGGCTTTTCTTTTTCTGTTTTTAACCAGGAGAGAAAGTTTGAAAGTTTTTAAAGGAACCAGCCAAGTCTCAAATTCAGATTTAATCAAGTTTAATCGCACAAAAGAAACCAGATCTTCAAAAGTTACACTGATTCAAATTCAAAATCAACTTTATGTATGGCTCTTTTTAGACCAAAAAAAATGTAGCTCAAAGAAAAACAAACAAAAATCGAACAACAATTAAACCTGACTCTCCCACCCATGGACCCCCACGCACACACACACACACACACACACACACACACACACACACACACAACTGCACACAATGTTAGAATTTAAGATATATTGTTGAAGAGACATGACCTGACACAGAGACATTACGCGAGGAAAGAGCTACCTCTAGGAAACACTGGAGATAAAAGATAAAAAATAAAATTGAAAAATAAATAAATCAATAAATAAACTAGAAAAGCACTCTGAGAGCGCAGACCTCCGCCAAGCAGCTCATGTCCCCCCTTATATTGTGATTCACACCAAAGCTTTAAGTGTTACTTGTCTTTTATTAACGTTTATTTGTGTTTAAACTGGAATGTTCACTGTTCATAATGTTCCTAAAACAAGAAATGCCCTGACCCGAAATCGAACCCAGGACCTTGTTGCTGTGAGGCAACAGTGCTAACCACTACACCACTGTGCCGCCCATTGGTTATCTTTCAGCATTGAAAATTCCAACAACACCCTTATTTTTGTGTGTTCTGGATCACAGTATACGGAATTTTGTCTGGATCAGGATCAACCTTTGACATCTCATAAAACTCATTGAGATCCTTTTGTGTAATTTTTTACTGAAGACTCTGACCATTTTTATAGAGATAAATGCAAACATTCCCAAATTTGCCCTATTTCACAATGATAAAGAATCCTTCAAAAAATTCCTGGACCCAGAAGGCGATCCGGATCACCACCAAAATGTAATGGGGTCCTCCTTGGGCTGAGACGCACCTCTGGTGAAAATTTCAGGTCAATCTGTCTGTAACTTTCTCCGTAAAGTTGCTAACAGACGAACAGACAAACAAACAAACCAACCAACGCTACTGAAAACATAACCTCCTTGGCGGAGGTAAAAATGGCAAAAGAAAGACTAAAACCTGATGGACTAAAACAATAAAATAAAATGAACAAACAAGTAAGAGCTCTTTACCATATAAAAGGGGTAAAAGAAGTAAAAACCTCTAAGGCGGGAACTAAGAAAAGACTAAGAACAGAGATAAGTAATAAAATTACATAAAATAAACAGTAAGAACTTTGATTAAAATGAACATTTGCAATAAAAAGGTAATTAGTAAAAAGCCTGGTTAAAAAGGTGAGTCTGGAGCCTCTTCTTAAAAACATCAACAGTCTCTGCAGCCCTGAGGCTCTCTGGCAGGCTGTTCCACAACCGGGGACCATAAAAACTGAACACAGCCTTCCTTCCGGTGTGTTTTTGTTTTGACTTTGGGTCAAAAGGTTAAAACGTCTGTGCTGGAGGACCTCAGGGTCCACGAGGGTTGATATGATAAAAGTAAGTCAGATAAATAAGAGGGGCCACGACCATTAATACATCTAAAAACTAGGAAAAGAAGAACCTTAAAATCAATCCTGAAACGGACGGGGAGCCAATGCAGCGATGCTAAAACTGGGGTCATATGCTCTCGCCCTCTGGCCCTTGTCAGCACTCTTGCAGCTGAATTCTGTAATAGCTGAAGTGTCTGTAAGTTCTTCAAAGCATGCATCAGCACCTCAGTGCTGGCCTGAGAGAGAAACCAGCGGACTCTGGCTATATTCTTAAGGTGTTAAAAACCTACCTTTGCTATGTTTTTGATGTGTGGAATAAAACTGAGCTCAGAGTCGAAAATTATGCCCAGGTTTTTTACAGATGTTGATACTTTAAAATCTTGTTGTTTTGGTAAAAGTGTCTCTCTCAGGCCTTCAGGACCAATAACTAAAACCTCTGTTTTGTCCTGGTTGAGCTGCAGGAAGTTGGCTGCCATCCAGGACTTCATGTCTAAAATGCAGTTTAAAAGGGCATCAATTGGCCCACTATCATCAGGAGACATGGACATGTACAGATGCCAGAAACAGATGCTGTGCCTCCTGATGTGCCCAAGGGGAAGCATGTAAAGATTAAAAAGAGTTGGACCTAAAATTGACCCCTGGGGAACCCCACACATAATTTTATGGGTTCATGAGGAACATGAATCCATACTTACTAGAAAGTGTCGATCAGTGAGATAAGAAGTGAACCAGTTAAAAACAGTGATCCAGAATTTTCAGATCCCCTGACCTCGTGGAAAAACTGGACCAGCTGTGGGACAGTCAGGAAAATCTCCAGGGAAATTTTGGGGTGGAAAACTTGTCTACTGGTTTGAATATTTAGGAACTTTTCAGGACTTTTGTACCTGAGTGTAGATAAAACATGAACGCTTCATTTGTTGTTAGACTGGATCATGAACAAGCAGATGTTACTGAGAGTCAAAGTGAAAGTAGAGTAACTTAAAATGGAGGAGGAGGATCTTAGTGCAGCAGGAGACGACACTTAAACTCTGTTTATTCAAAAAAACTGGTTTATTATGTACAGTTAGTTTACAAACATAGAAAAGTTAAATATCTCTAAAGTTATGTACAGAATATCTCAGCAGACATTTTCTGTGATGGAAACTCAAACTGTTCTCTGAGTTTTTGTGTCCTCCGTGTCAGCTGATCCCCTCCTCCTCCTGCGCTGCAGTCTAACTGATCGAAGGAGTCCGTGCTCTGATGTTCACAGGGTGGACCAGAGACGTGGCAGAGAGCCCCGCCTTGACTCCGCCTTCTTTCCCCGCTTCAGCGAACGGGAACACTTCTCTGGTCATTCTCGTCAGGAGGCATGGCATCTCTTTCTTACCGCCAAAGATGCGACCTTTAGCCTGGAAGGTGTAGGCGACTCTGTGAGAGAGGCGGGTCATGAGGCGGGTCAGCTCCAGGTTACGGTTCCCCTCCTCCTTTAATAAGGTGCAGAAAGTCTGCAGGAAGACAGATCCGAGTGGGTGCATGAACGCCCCGTAACCTGAGGAGAGGACAGAGGACAGGGTTTTAACAGGGAACACCTGAGAACCTGGAACCTGATCTGTGTTAGTGTCTGAGCTCTTAGGGCCTGTGTCCACTGATGCTGTCTTCTGTAAGTTATCCTGCAGAACCATCTTGTATTTGTTTCCATGTAAAGGTGGGGTAGGCAGGAATCCGTTAAAGAAGCATCTTTTTTTTGTGTTGTATTTACAAAAAATCTTTTAATATCAGTCAATAGTTATTAGTTATTGATGACATTTGGTAATGTAACAATATCTCTTATGTCTGTGTAGTCAACATTTTAACATTTTTGAGCGGCCCGCTGTTTCTGACTGTAAACAAAGCCATTCTCCACCTCCTTGACCTGATTGGTTGTGAGGCAGACGCTGCTCCTCCCTGTCATTCACGAGCCCAAACAAAATAAGCGTGCTACAATATCGGACAGTAGAAACCAACCAGAAAGTTGGAAAAATGTCTGAATCCTCCTTTGGTCACGACTGCCAACACAAGCAAGAAAATGAAGTAAATACCGGAGACTCCGGCGGAATGACGGGCGCTTAAAAAGGAGGTAGACCGGACAAGAGCTAAAAAGCCGGGTCAACATAAACGATGGGGGACACTTCAGGATCTTGGTGACCCTGTAACCTTTCTGCTGGACAGGTAAACCGCTTTAACAAAGTAAGCCAAATGTCTGTAACAGTAAGTGTTAGTGTAAGTGTTTCTTGTCAAACGGGACCTGCTGTGTGTTGTAGCGCCGCTTAACTGTTGACCTCTGGTCCTGGACTATGTGACTTTTTCCTAGTTGTAGAAGACCTGAAAACATTGTGTTTGCTGGTAGTCTGTTGGCATCTACAGTAGCACCAATGCTTTTTACATTCACGTTGACTGGGCCCCATTTGTAATTATCTGAAGTATTTATCTGCATTATATCTGAATTTAATTGTAACGATACGAGCGAGCAGGAGCGTCTGTTTGTGGGCGGGGCTTGCTGGAGCAGAGAGGGAGGGGAGAGGAGGAGCTGAGGGGAAAACTGGTTGGGAGGGGTAGAGTTTACTTTTTTTTTCCCTATAAACTGGAACTTCCTCAGATCCTGACTACCCCACCTTTGACAGAATTTTAAAATAAAACCGCTCTGACTCTGAGCTGCTGCAGACTCCAGGATATCATTCCTTTGGATCATTTATACATTTTTTCTTGAAATTTCTGTCAAAATTGACATTAAAACTCAATTTTAAGAATACAGAACCATCTGAAGGTGGGGTAGTCAGGATCTGAGTTAGTGACACTTGGCTTACTTTGTTAAAGCGGTTTACCTGTCCAACAGAAAGGTTACAGGGTCACCAAGATCCCGAAGCATCCCCCATCATTTATGTTGACCCGTCTTTTTAGCTCTTGTCCGGTCTACCTCCTTTTTAAGCGCCCGTTATTCCGCCAGAATCTCCAATATTTACTTTGTTTTCTTGCTTGTGTTGGCAGTCGTGACCAAAGGAGGATTCAGACAATTTTCTGAACTTTATGGTTGGTTTCTACTGTCTGATATTGTAGCACGCTTATTTTGTTTGGGCTCCTGAACAACACAGGGGAGCAGCCTTGCAACCAATCAGGTCGAGGAGGTGGAGAACGGCTTTGTTTACAGTCAGAAAGAGCGGACCGCTCAAAAATAGTAAAATGTTGACTACACAGACATAAGAGAACACAGAGATAACGTTAGGTCATCAATAACATCAATAACTAATAACTATTGACTGATATTAAAAGATTTTTTTGTATAAAAACCACAAAAGTAGATGCTTCTTTAAAAGATTCTTGCCTACCCCACCTTTAGGTGCAAAAATGCTCTCAGTGGACACAGGCCCTAACTCAACAACTCACATCAGTGAAAATGCAACTGTACTCAATGTTAATCTTAATTATTGATGTGTAAACATGTTTGAAATAGTCCAAATATGACTCTATGAGGCAGAGGATCAGGTCAGTCCCTCATCAGGAAATCTGTGCCTCGTCTCTTTAAAAGGTCAAATCAAATTTGTTGTTTTAACTCGTGTGTGTGTTGATCTGAGTCAGGTGGATGGACGGGTGTTCACCTGGAGCCGTGGCGTACATCACAGCTGTATCTACAGGGACGCTGAGCTGCTGGGAGAAGCTGCTCTCTGTGGTGTCAACGGCTGAATCCACCTCGACGCCGGGGTCCAGAGAGTCCCCCCGACACGCCTGCAGAGACCGTTAATAGAGGAGGATTTAAAAATCAGCAGAGAAAGAGGAATCTCCATGACGATAAAGAGTGTTTGTTCCTCCTCTCACCTGTATGAGGAACAGTTTGGCCTTTGTTTCCATACATTCATTGTCAAAATAAGAAAAGATCTTTGACAGTTGGACTGGTTTCCCATCAGCTCCGAACACGCAGCCCTCCTCGCCGTGAGACGACAGAACAGCCAGGAAACAGTCCTTCACAGGTTTCCTGCTCTCTGCAGCACAAACACAAGAACAAACAGTCAGTCCACACTTCACTCAGAGTTTAAGAGTCACTGTGCGTGAAGACAGGTGGAGCACCTCAGGTATGCAGGTCCGCCTCTAATTTCACATGACAGTCTGCAGGTCTGAGGGAACATTCAGTCCTCCTCTGAGATCTTCAACAACAGTCCCTGAAAAACTGGATTACGTAATCCATAATCTGACTCAGTGTGTCAGATGTGACTGATCCAAATTTTTATCTATTAGTGACGATAAGCTGCTGTAAAGCCGTCAACCATCATTACATCATCTGTTTAACAAGTTCAGAGGTCATTTAAAGGGGAGTCTATGCAGCAGATATAGAGAATTACATATAATATCTTACATAATATCCTTATATCGCTGTACATTTACATTGAATATACAGCAGGAGTTTCACCAAATTTGTTCCAAATGTAAAAGTCGTGCAGGCACTAGGGTGCACTGTCTGTGGGAATGCAACACAATTCAGGTATTCTGGAGGGCAATATGTGCAAACATGAGTATCGCAAAAGGACAACAGGTGCCAGCAACTCCACTCCCCAATTTTCTTAAACAACATGAGGAGGTGATTCAATCACTCTTAATGTTGGCAGGGAAAGCAATCCTGGTAAAGTGGGTTGGAGATGACCCACCTTCTCTTCTGATATGTGAGGTTGTGACTCATGAAAAATTGGGATGTTACATAAACGTGAGGATTCAGATGTTTCAGGAGAAATGGAAGAAACCACTGGAACTTCTTGGAGTTACATTCACTCTGGAGCTGAACTACCTGGACATATGTTTAAAATGACACGTCACCGGAGTATAACCTACACGTGTCTCACTCACTGGACCTATTTTTATTTTGTTCAATCAACCAGTCTTTATTTATAAAACACTTTTCATACACGACCATGTAGCACAAAGTGCTTTACACAGAAAAAGGAATAAAAGAAACAAAGAAAACCCAAATCAAGCCCAACCCAACTCCTCGTTCCCACCCCATGATCAAAATGCAACAGAAACAGAATTAAAATACATGAACTTAGAAAGGACTCGATTTCTTGGAAACAGGAATATGCACACTGAGGAAACGACATTTTAAGACTTAAGATAAGTAAACATTGGAGGTTTAAAACCTAAAAACAAAGTAACATAAAATGAAATTGAAGAAATAATAAATAAATGAAATAAAAACAACAGTAAAAGATACTAAAATAAGAGCACCAAAATAGCTCAATAAAAGACGATCCTGTCATTAAAACTAGAAAGAGATAAACGCTGAAACACTTAAAGTTCATGATATAAAATTTAGTTAAAAGCAAAACTAAAAAGGTACGTTTTTGGTTTGCATTTAAAATCATTGTTATGGACCACTTTTGTTATTTTGTAAAGTTTGTAGTTTGCTTTTTTGTTTGCCTCTGGAAAACAGAAAAAAGTTTAAACAAAAGGTCAGTCTGACAAACGTTCAAAGTCTCCTTTCAACAGGGACGCGGGCCCGAACCACAGGAAGTGAAGTGGATTTGTTCATAACCCTCTGCAATACCCTGTCTAAACTCTAGGGGGCAGTGTGCTGGTCACATCGAAGACTAAGAAACCAGCGTGAGGTTCAGTCTGTTGATGCGAGAAAGTAAAACGCCAAAAGACAGACCATCTCAATTCAGTTTAGAGAAACTGGTCTAGACCAGGACTTTCGAAAACTGGGTCCTTCATGAGCCTGAAGTCCAGGATGGGGACTCAGCAGTTGTCACATTTAAGAGGAGGTCGTTCCTACAGACGTCTTTAAAAAGTTGTCAATAATTTTCCTCAATTGTAGGTCTGAAAGCGTCCTGAAAAGTTTTAATTTTTACTCGTGAGAAACAATTTCAGAAAACTAAACTGTCTGAGTGTGATCAGATCTGCGATGGAGATCTATTACACATATATCTATGATGGAGATCTATCAAAGATACATCTATGATGGAGAGCTATTACAGATATATCTGTATCTGGAGAATAAATGAAAAACATGCAAGTGGCTTTGGGTGTGTGGAAACCTGTTAAATGCTGCAGTAAATCTGTGTGTGTGTGTGTGTGTGTGTGTGTGTGTGTGTGTGTGTGTGTGTGTGTGTGTGTGTGTGTGTGTGTGTGTGTGTGTGTGCGTGCGCGCGCGTGCATGTGTGTGTGTTACCTTTGTAAAACAGCTCATAGATCTCCTCACTGCTCAGGTCCAGCCTGATCTCCACCTTGAAGCCCAGCTTTCTCAGAGTATGGTGGAGCTCCTTGGTGTCCTTGTTGGCTCCGGGTCTCTGCCCCAGATCCACGCCGGGGTCAAACTGAGCCACAGACACCAGCACGGCCCGGTTACACTCCCCCCGGGTCTCTGTCAGTCCTCTCCACTGTGGCATCCTGCTGTAGGATCTGTGTGTCTGTTAGTCTGCACTGCTGTTAAACCTCTGCTGTCCTGCCTCCAGTCACACCTGTCTGTCCATATATGGAGTTTCCCCTCGTGCTTCTACAGGTTTACAGGTTTGTGTCACACAGTGTTACATAATTTGGGCTTTTTTTTCTCCATGTGCTTGGAAACCACTTGATGCACTCAGGTGTGTTCTTCCTCAGGTGTGTTTGCTTTGACACATGACTTCACTGTAAGAAAACTTAAAACTGGGTTTTACAGTCATGACCACTTTCAGGAAACGAGTAAATGTGAAACTCTCAGGAGGAGGAAACCACCTCTCTTAAAAAGGTCCAGTTGTCAATTATTGCACAACTTTAAACAGGTCATCTGATGAGATAAAGAAGTACAGCAGGGCAGATAGATTCTCTTTTTATGACATAATTATTATCAGCAGGTGAAGTTCCCATCAGTGATGTTTGCAGACATGAGATTAGAAGAACAAAAATGGAGCTGAGAGTGAAGTTAGAAGAGCCAAATCAGACTCACTTTATTACTGAGATGTTTTTCACAGGGACCGACTGCCGACCGCTTGCTTCTCTAGTTATACCAACTTTAGTAACGACCGCAGGATAGCAGTACAGAGAGCCACGCGCTCAACCAAAATGCCACTCTGTAGCCACAAAAAAAAGCTCAGGACAGCACCTAACTTCATCAACAGTACATATAGGGTCCCAGCCAAAGTACTAGCCACCAAACATCTTTTTAACTTTGACTAATTTCTTTAGCAAAGAGTCTAAACAAAACTCACCCACTCTCTTCCTTGTTTGTAGCAAACCTCAGTCCAGTCCGTGACGGACTACAGCGGGGTGACACAGCTCAAGGAAGAACATTTATGATCATTTCTTCATGGAAATACAATCAGACCGAGACACTGAGGCAGAAGAACAACCGCGTCTGCAGAGAAAAATGATTAATATGATGATTATTACTTCAAGGAAATGAATGAAAAGAAAGAAGTTAAAATTTTATCTGATTTATGTCAAAATAAAGATCGTTTCACATTGTCGCACAATAATTTATCAAAGGAAACCTAAAAAATGATCTGATAGACCTTCAATGCAGCGACAGGAACAGTTATTCTTTATATATTTAAGCAGTTTTTACCTCATACTTTCACTTTCACCTCAGATAAAAATGCTTATATTTCATTTTAAACTCACTCACCTTTGACATGAAACACCTTGTTTTTCTTGTTACACTGATATGTTTTGAATCTTTACTGCTTTGAAGGCCTGAACACAGCACCTGAAGAACTCTGCAGACATCTTTTACGAGCTGTTATCTTCAGTTTTCTTTTGTCACATCAGGACAAACAGGTTTGATCCTCCAAGTGTCACTCTGGTGTTTGTTGAAGCAAATTAAATGAGTAATAATGAATCTGAAAGATGACTTATTATTAAACCTGAGGTGGAAAAACACTAAACACCTGTGGGACTTGTTTGGTGATATGATCTGTCCTGGCGTGAGACATGATGTTCAAACTTTTTCAGAGAGAGAGTTGAGTCACAGTATTTTAAAGATTATTTTAGAAATTCAGTTTTTGTTGATGTTGTTTTTTTTTTTTATTTGCCGAAAAGGAAATAAAACTCTGTCAGACTAAAACAAGAGGTCTGAGTGAGATCGAAGGATTAAAAGCAGTATTTTAAAGAGCTAGGATACATAAAACTGACCAGAACTACTATAAATCACATCTAAACAAAGACAAGTTTTTTTTTTTTTTACGACCAGTAATCATCTATGTTCTTCAATATTCATAAAAATCAGCCGTTCATTTGTGTTGACGGAAGCCCTAAGCAGATACACCTCCATTCATTTTATTTTCTTCTTTTTTATTATATAACAAGACAAAGGTTTATGCTTCTAAAAAAACGGAAGTTCATCAAGTTTCCACTAGAGGCTTTTCCCAAAAGTGAGTCAATCCCCATAAGGCCCAAGTTTACCCAAACCTTTAAAGGACCAGCTCTCTGTAGACCTTAGTGAACCCAGCAGACCAGGATCTGGAGTTTCATTCCGTCCTGATAGAGGATTTCAGCTGCTGAACAGTTCAGGGTCTCCTTGGTCCTGTTTTTGGGGTCATGATGCTCCAAATGTTTTCAAGTCAGGACTGCATCAGTCCAGTTCCTCAGCAGGACTCTTCTCCTACAGAGTCATGCTGTTGTCAGAATGTGGTTTGGGATCATATGAAGGTCTTCCCTGAAAATAGCTTTGTCTGGATGGACGCAGATGTTGATCCTAAACCTGGAAAAATTGTTCAGTATTAAAGGGATATTCTGGCATAACATTAATTTAGGGTCAAACACACCATAACACTGAGTTAGACACCCCCTCCAGAGATGAATGTTGCCGACCGCTTGCTTCTCTAGTTATACCAACTTTAGTAACGACCCAATTTTACGCCGGAATATCCCTTTAACGTCAATTTCTCTGTTAACCTCTCTTGTGGATTTTGGCGCCCCCTGTGGATATGGTTCTTGCCTTCCTTGTGGTTCTCAATTAAATTTGTCACTCTTGAATTTAAAGACTACCTGATGGTTCACAAACTTTTGAGTAAACTTGATAAACCAGTTTATCAGACCGGTTTGGTCTTCCTGTTGGGGGTTATTGGTCTGTTATTTCACCCTCAGAGTCTGGGTTAGAGACTTTTTGAAGTATAGATTATTTTACATCTAAATTTCTGAACTGAATCATCTCAGATTTTTACTCCAGTGTTGTTTAATTCTGTATTTTTGCAGTAACCTCATTTTCCATCAGGCGGCAGCAGAGCGACGGAAGTCAACCATGTTGACTACGCGTCACTACGTCATCCCTGTGCGACATCAGCCGGCTCCGGACAGCTGGTTTTGGTTCGATAAAAGAGTGGAGGAGGTTCGAGGGTCTGATAAGTTCTGATAAGGAGCAGGTCAAAGATCGATGGTTCAGACTTGTTTTTAAGTATTTAAAGTTGAATTTTAACTCTCAGTGAGTTCAAATTAATTAACCGGAAATCTGGAGCTGCACGTGCACTCATTTTAGAGAAATTATCATCAAATAAAACTTAAAAAAATATAAAAACAATTGAAAACGGATCAAGAACTTCCTGGAAATGTCCACACACGGAAAGAAAAACGGCATACCTGACAGGTAAGAGACAGTGACCTGTTTTCAACCTTTACCTGCTTCGTTATTTATCAGCCTGATTTATCGATAATCAGTATTTACCCTGATTGATTAAAGGTGATGGGGGGTTGAAGGGGTTTGTGCAGATGTGGGACATTAAATAAAAACAGTAAATATATAAAGTAAACTGATGAAAACATGTGGTTTGTTTGTTTATTATGGATCCCCATCAGTTCGGACCTTAGTCAGGACTATTCTTCCTGGGGTCCAGACACTGATACACAACTGTCAATACATCGTACAATAAATTACAGACAATAAAATACGATTATATCAATAAAAATTTACAAATGCGAAACGACCTTTAGTTTTCAAAACCTAGAAAAATTAAATTTCTTTACTAATAATGGCCTCTTTAATTTTCTTTTTGAATCTCCATTTGCTTTCAATGTTAATCATATGTGGTAGATGCCGATTCCAATATTTCACTGCTCTATACAGTGCAGTTCTCTTCGGAGCCTCTGTTCTTGGTAGAGGCAGGATGAAAGAAGCGTTGAAGGCATGCCTGGTTACATAGCCATGCCTATTGTTAGCCTGAAGCCGCAACACTAAATTAACAGTAGGGATGTGCCGATATACGATTTAATCGCAATATGCGATATTAAACGGCCGATGAAATCGTAAGGTACTGTAATAATCGCTCCACAATTATAATGTGAAGACGAGTGGCAGCATCAGTCAGCGGAGGCGAGTGAAGCCGAGTATTTACCAACCTAACCCACTTGTAGTCTTACCCACGGTGTCAAAGCCTCGGTAGCAAAATGTACAAACAAACCACCACAAAAGTAGTCCCAAATCCAAATGAACAAAAACGGGAACATTAAAAGAGAAAGTGAACAAATTTTATAACAAAATGAGTGGCCACCCACAATGCACTGCGGCCACTCAAAGCACGATGGGAGCATGTCCACAATGCATCCCATCCGCTCATTAGCTTCTTAAAGTGGAGGAGATATGATCTGATAGTTTAAAAACACGAGTATTGGATCACGACAACATGTCAAATGGAGCAGCAAACTTTCATTCTTTTTTTATGTGTCCCAAAAATGCACATATAGAGATGTACTTGGGTATATAAACTGTGCAGTAAGCTATTGAGGTAGAGAGCATTACATTTTCGGGACAGGGAATATCCCGAATCAGAGGGCTATTGTTTTCGGTTTATCTGAATAGTCTGAATGAAATCATTAAAGGCACACGCTTTAGAATTCATCCAACAGTGAGGAAAACTCTGACTTTTCGTCTTATGTACTTTCGACCGCGCTCCCGGGGTGCATTCAACAGCAGGGGTGCATTCTACGGCATAACATTTTGTTTTTAAATGGCCAGTTTTAAAGCATCTGTACTAAAAACTAAAGAAACTAGAAATTAGTTCATCATTTTATTAAACAGATCTGTTGTGTTGCCAGTTTTTAAGGGCACCGAACACTGACATACCTTACACATCAGCATAATTTCTCAACGTCACTTTGGAGATACCCGAACTGCCACACAACCGACACACAAAATAATTTTCGTTCTCAACAATAACATCTTCGGAGGATGACTCAAAGTCACGTCTGACAACTATCTTGCTGCCCTCAGCACCGCATTTAGCTTCCCGTTCGGTTGTTCTGTTCACTTCTCTGGCAACTTACAGAGGTAAGCAGGAAAAGCTCGACTCTGATTGGCTGCTGTGACGCACAATTTCGCTTTCGCTAATTTTAATGCTTCTTGAGACGTTGATTTGTACATGTTTGATATGTGATTTCCAAGTAATTCTGTCGTCTATGGAGACCCCCAAAAATGTAATTTCGTGAACTCTTTCTATCGTAACTCCCTCTAATTTGATGAATTCTTCTGTGTTTCTCTCCCACAGGTGGCTCGATTACAGCGCCGTTGGGAAAAGGCTTCAGGGGACACGTTTCATCGCCTTCAGAGTTCCTCTGAAAGCGGTCAGGAGACTTGCCTCTGATCTTCATGTTTCTGTAAATGTGTTTTTTTTTGTCATTGGTGTGATGTTTTCAGGTTATAATCCTTGTGTCTCACTCAGTCTCTGAACCGTAAACTGTCGAGACATGATGTGTTCGGACCCTGGGAGCTGCTCGACGCTCTGAACAAAGAGAACCAAGAGCTGGGTTTGATCATTGACCTCACCAACACCACACGCTACTACAACCCCGCGGTAAAAACAGACACAAACACCCTCAGAGGTTTTTTCAAACTGTAGGATCATTTGTTTCTGAACTTAAACGCTCCCTCTGTTCCTGCAGGATTTACCGGAGTCTCTGCTGTATGTCAAGATCTTCACAGCCGGACACGAGATTCCCAAAGACCACACGATCCTGAGCTTCAAACGAGCCGTAAGAGACTTCCTGAGGAACAACGCGGACAACGGTAAGAGAGTCAGAGTATGATGGATAAATAAGGAGGAAATAGAGTCATGCATCGTGGAATTCAACACCTTTACTTTTGCAGACAAGCTGATTGGAGTCCACTGCACCCACGGTCTGAACCGAACTGGATACCTGATCTGCAGGTGAGCACCCCGTTAAAACCTGCAGAGCTGCTTTAAGTGGGATTAAGATGGTGATTTCACTGACTGTGTGTGTGTGTGTGTGTGTGTGTGTGTGTGTGTGTGTGTGTGTGTGTGTGTGTGTGTGTGTGTGTGTGTGTGTGTGTGTGTGTGTGCAGGTATCTTATAGATGTGGACGGGATGGATCCTAAAGAGGCGATACAGTGTGAGCTCTCTTAATTTTGAACAAATGTCTGAGTCAGAGTTTATTTCTGGATTATCTCTCAGAATTTCTGATCTGATTTATTTTCAGTGTTTAACTCGTCGAGGGGTCACAAGATCGAACGACAGAACTATCTGAATGACCTGCAAACGGGACCGAAGAGGAGGTGACTAAATGGAGACTTAGAGGAGCTCAAATACTCTGATTTAAATTTTGTTTTTCACGCTCACTCGTGTGTTTTTATCATTTTTAAAAACAGTAATGTGGGGATGGAGGAGTCCGAGCAGAGACCGATAAGAGGAGGCGCCACACATCGACCATCAGACTCAAACAGCAGAGACGAGAGACAACCTCCCCTCAGTGACTCCAGACCGCACAGGTAGAGAGGAGGAACAGGAACAGGAACTGAACTGACTAAATCTAAAAGATGAAACAACAGTCGTAAAGATCTGGGAAAAAAATGGATTTGATTCAAAATTAAAAAAAACACTAAAAAAGGTCGGAGAGAAAAACTCGTTCAGTGACAGAAACTGTCCCGTGGTCTGATGGAAATCGTGATCGCTGCATCGTCCTCTCTGAAGAGAAGAGGGACCACCGAGCCAGAGTCTAAATCCAGCATCCCTGATGGTCTAGGGATCATGATAGTAATAAAAATGGTAATATAAATAAGAGTAAAATTAATAATAAAAAAAAATAATAATAATAAGAAGAAAAGTAATAATTATCATTATGATTACAATGATAAGCCTTACAACAATAATAATTACAATTATATTAATCAAAACTATAGTAATAATAATAATTATTAACATTATTATTATTACTATTATAAAATAATGAAAATAATAATCCTAATAATTATTATAATTATAAAAATAATAACATCTACAATAAAAATTATTATTAAAACTTATAATATATTTTGATAATAGTAAGAATTAAAATCATAAGATTAATAAATTGAATTAAAAAATAATTTATATAATGAAATATAATAATAAATAAAAAGGTTATATGAAAAATAATAAACTTAATAATTATCCTTATTATTATTTTAATAAATTATAATAATAACAATAAAACTTATATTTATAATTATAATAATTCAATTAATAATTCAATTGTTATTATTATTATTGTTGTTTGTGATAATAATAATAATAATTATTATTATTTTTAATTATTATTATTATTATAATAACAAGATAATGGGTAAAGTAGTAATAATAAATAATTGTGAATTAAAAATACATTTAGTAATAGTAATAATAATTTAAATATGAGTTAAAATTATTGTATCAATACTAATAAAATTATTATTATTTATAATAGTTATCCTAATTGTAAGAACAATTATGATAATAATATAATTATTGATCATAATAATAATCACCTAAAATATTATTAAGGTGTCTTTTTCTTTTGTCAGTGTTTGACAGACTACGGTGAAGATGTTGATGATAATGATGATGGTGTAAACACAGGATAGATGTTGGTCTTGGTCTCATGAAGACCAGGATCATCTAAAATCAGGTTTTTCCAGGTGAGCATGTTTGTCTTTGTCTCTCTGCAGAAATTTTCCTCCCAGAGACAGAAGCCCTCGCCTACGTCAGCCGTACCCTCACAACGGCCTCCTCCCTCACCCTCCTCCTTCTTTCCTCCCTCCAATGGGAGCAGACCTCCACCCTTACCCACGAGGCCCCCTGTATCCCAACATGAGCCAGTGGAGGAGACCTCCTCACCCAGAGGAGGGCAGGTCCAAGTATCCTCCAGACGATCGGGAGTGGAGGACGTCGACCCGCTGGCCTGAGAACAGCAGGAGAGCGCCTCCTCCTCCTCCTCCTATCCTCCCCCGGTACTCCCCACAGTGGACCAACGAGTCCAACAGCTTCAACAGACATGAGGAGGACTGGGTCTCTCAGAGATCGAGAACCAGACACTCTGACAGACAAACACACAGGGACAGACCCAGCTCGTATAAGAACCACTGATGTGAGAGGGGGGGCGGGGCGCTCATCCAAACTCTGCATGGAGTCTGAACCGGGTCTGAAAACAGCTGGTTCACATCATTTAACCCTGCAGCAGGTGGACAAGCTGGACCATAATCCTCCATTTAAAGACAGGATCCCTGCAGAAACAGCCGAAAAACACAGATATCTTTAACAGTAATCCGTCTTCAAGCCACCAAACTCCATTGAGAAAATCAGAGATTTTTCCTGCTCTGAACACAGGAGTTATTTTTCCACTAGTGCAGTGATTATTCAGGTTTTTTGTGTGATAAGGAAATATTCAGTTGATTTTAAATGGACGAATTTAAACCCCAAACAAAAACAATCTTACCAACCCAGCAAGTAAAAATGCCATTTGGTTGATTTTTTTCTGTTGAATCGTCTAAAACACCAAATAAACCAACTCCTTGTAGGAGTTGGAGGAAAGGCTGACTGGACCGGTACACTAAATCCCTGAGCCCACCCCCCTTTGTTCTACATGATCTATAGTTCGATTAGCTGCTGTTGTAATGTGGTGTTTAGCTTCATGAAGGTCTAAAGTCTGACTTGGACAGGGTTTTGTTTCCTCGTGGTGAGACCGAACAGCTACCATGTGGTCCTGAAATCATCCAAACTTTCCTGTGTTTTCTGGAGGGAGGAGGAGGGGTAAAAATCTGAAAAAGCTTCCTGATTGGACGGCAGAGCTTGATGTCAGGTTTAGTCCAGGCTTTTACAGGTTTAGTTTGGTCATCCAGTGAAATATGTTTCCTTAAAAAGAGACGGAGATGATTGTTTAGACGACAGGATTATGTTTCAGACTTTACAGCCTGTTTCTGAGCTGCGGGTTTGACTGAACCAACTTTAAAACTTTTTTCCCCTTTAACATTTTAAACAAAAGTTCAGGATCTCATTATAAAAAAACAGCAGAATTTCCCTTTTTCCCTGAAGCCTGATTTTTGTCCGCTGACGTGCCTTCAAACTGACCTGAAATCAGCCTTGTGTTGGGGAAGGAGAAGAGCTGTGAGCATGCTGGAAGTTTTGGACTCTGTTATAAAATTATCTTCTTTTTTTCATGTGGAAGACACCAGAACAAACCTGCAGACTAAGTTTGATGTTTGGAGAGAATAAACTAAACTAAATCATCTCTGACTCCTCCACTTTGTTTGTGAGTGAATGCATGAATGAAAAGTTTGAGAAAGTCAATAAGAAGCTTCAAGCAGCAGGTTGAGAAAGCATTTCCCAGAAGGAAAAATGACGATATAAAATAAAAGCATAAAAACAAAACTAAAGGGTTAAATATATGATACAATAGAAATGTACACTACAGCCTTGTGAGTTTCAGACATTCAAAGACGTTTTATCTAATATTTTAGTTTTTTCTCCAAATTGTCTTTTTTTTTGATGATGTATTGTTTATTCGATCAAATATACATACAGTACAATTAAAGACAAGAAATTCCCTACTTTTTTTTTTTTTTGGAGATCGTAAAGGAGTACATTGAAGCTATTTAGCATATTTGTACCTTATTTTTTCTGCAATACGAACAAAGGCATTATATTACTCATGTATGTATTGCCCTGTACTTCTGCACAATAACTCAGATAAGGCAGAATAAGTGAACAGTACAACATTCTCATTGTTTTGCAATCTAAAAATTTCTTGACTTTGTTTAAAATAAAAATATTTTTTCACAGCATACAATACATGGGATTTCCATGTTATATGTTCATCCATAGTGATTCTCAAAAACTTAAACTCTAATACCCTCTCAATATTAACTCCATCAATGGACAATGATTTAGTTTTTATCAAATTTAATTATAACTTTTTTTTACAGCAAACCAAATTTAAAGTTTCACCATTTCACTTTCAGTTATTTTTTTTTTTTTTATTATTATCTCCTGAACAAAAGAAATGAGTGTCATCTGCAAACAAAATGAACCGTAACAACTTAGAAACTTGACAAATATCATTGACATACAAAATAAAAAGTTTCGGCCCCAAAACCAAACCTTGTGGGACCCCACATTCAATTTTCAAACATTCAGATATTGTTTTCTATTATGTAAATATCTAGTTAACCAATTTAGAACAATTCCCCTCACAATATAGGTATTTAAATTAGCATTTAAAATGGAATGATCTATTGTATCAAATGCCTTCTTTAAGTCAATGAATCAGCTTATCGTATTTTTCCTTTTGTCAATAGCTGTTGTGATTTCTTTTATTATTTCCATTATTGCCAGATCAGTACAGCGATTTGTGCGAAAACCACATTGACTCTCACTTAATTTTTTTTTTTTTTTTTTTATGAAATTATCTTATTTTTGAATAATCAACATTTTGAGCGCTTTTGAAAATTGAAGAAGTAATGATACTGGTTTATACACTCACCGGCCACTTTATTAGGTACACCTGTCCAACTGCTCGTTAACACTTAATTTCTAATCAGCCAATCACATGGCGGCAACTTAGTGCATTTAGGCATGTAGACATGGTCAAGACAATCTCCTGCAGTTCAAACCGAGCATCAGTATGGGGAAGAAAGGTGATTTGAGTGACTTTGAACGTGGCATGGTTGTTGGTGCCAGAAGGGCTGGTCTGAGTATTTCATAAACTGCTGATCTACTGGGATTTTCACGCACAACCATCTCTAGGGTTTACAGAGAATGGTCCGAAAAAGAAAAAATATCCAGTGAGCGGCAGTTCTGTGGGCGGAAATGCCTTGTTGATGCCAGAGGTCAGAGGAGAATGGCCAGACTGGTTCGAGCTGATAGAAAGGCAACAGTGACTCAAATAACCACCCGTTACAACCAAGGTAGGCAGAAGAGCATCTCTGAACGCACAGTACGTCGAACTTTGAGGCAGATGGGCTACAGCAGCAGAAGACCACGCCGGGTGCCACTCCTTTCAGCTAAGAACAGGAAACTGAGGCTACAATTTGCACAAGCTCATCGAAATTGGACAATAGAAGATTGGAAAAACGTTGCCTGGTCTGATGAGTCTCGATTTCTGCTGCGACATTCGGATGGTAGGGTCAGAATTTGGCGTCAACAACATGAAAGCATGGATCCATCCTGCCTTGTATCAAAGGTTCAGGCTGGTGGTGGTGGTGTCATGGTGTGGGGAATATTTTCTTGGCACTCTTTGGGCCCCTTGGTACCAATTGAGCATCGTTGCAACGCCACAGCCTACCTGAGTATTGTTGCTGACCATGTCCATCCCTTTATGACCACAATGTACCCAACTTCTGATGGCTACTTTCAGCAGGATAATGCGCCATGTCATAAAGCTGGAATCATCTCAGACTGGTTTCTTGAACATGACAATGAGTTCACTGTACTCAAATGGCCTCCACAGTCACCAGATCTCAATCCAATAGAGCATCTTAAGGATGTGGTGGAACGGGAGATTCACATCATGGATGTGCAGCCGACAAATCTGCGTCAACTGTGTGATGCCATCATGTCAATATGGACCAAGCTCTTTGAGGAATGCTTCCAGCACCTTGTTGAATCTATGCCACGAAGAATTGAGGCAGTTCTGAAGGCAAAAGGGGGTCCAACCCGTTACTAGCATGGTGTACCTAATAAAGTGGCCGGTGAGTGTAATTATTAAAGCTGTGTTTATCTCCTGCCTTGAAAAATGGAATGACCTTTGCTGTTTTCATCCTATCTGGAAAAACGTCTGTTTTAAATGAAATATTTTATACATAACATAAGGGTTTAAAAATACAGTCAATGGTCTTTTTTACTACTTTCATGTACTTTAATAAAGTTACACTCATACACCCTTTCTATATTAGTATTAGGGGAGACTGGGGCTTGTTGTCACACTTTTAACACTCATATATTTCTTTGAATCAATCCATCATATATAAATAAAATTTGTACCAGACTAAAGACCAAAGTCTCAGGTATATATGTCATATTTATGTCATTTTCATATCTTGTGTTAGAGCAGAGTTATAACCAATCAAAGTGAGAGTGTGAACATGTGATATGTTGCCCCACCATCGGGTAAGTTGTCTCACTACATGGGGTAAGATGTCACAGTGGATTCTACAGCTTATAAAACAAGAACAAAATTATTGTTGTTCTCTTTTTTTTACCTGAAAGGGAACATTAAAGTCAGACGCAGAAAATGTTTATCATTGAGTTAAAGAAAAAGTCATTAAACAAACGTTAATATAAAATATTATCAACATGCTCTGGAGTTTGGAGATCTGTCTGACTCTGTATTTCAGCTGGGGTAAATGTTTTACAGTACAGCGCTAAGGTGGTTGACATTAAAGTCCTTTATTGTCCTCCAGATTGATTTATTATCGAGGCTCACCTGTCCGACTGTCCTTAGCATCACGTCAGGAACTGCACTGACATGTTCTGTTTTTCTTTCTAATTCCTGACCATGTCTTCTCTCTTTTTCCTCTCCTTTAAAACACTCTGTTCTCTGTAAAAAGAAAGAAAGACTCTTTATGTTAACTTTAAACTAACCCCAAAATGACTGAGACATGTCGACCCAAACTACCATGCTTGCTAATTCTAGCTCTAGATTAAAGTTAATTAAACAGAACAATGACTGAGGTATGACAGAATGAATTAATCTCTCCTCTAACAAGTCCACATGTTTCGCTGCAAGGATTTTTATCTGGAAGAAGATTATTTTAAATATGTAAAGTTATTTTTTTTTACTTCGGGTTGTGTGAAATGGTTAATTACTGCTCATCTCAGCTAACATGTTCTCTTCTCAGATAGGACACGACCCCTGACCATGGAAAGGAAGAAAACTAGTATTCCGCATTTTAGTTGCGCCCTCTGGTGGCAAAGATAATTGCAATGTGACAACTTACCCACGTGACAACAAGCCCCGGTCTCCCCTATCAATACTTACTTTAACCTCTGTATTTGGTTAAATTGGTCTCTTTCCAAACTCTGTAAACTTCGTCTTAGTTTACACTCTCAGTTTTGTCTCATAATTATCCTCTCATAATTATTTTTGACATTTTACCATTAAAGATGAATTTATCAGATTTTCATGTTTTCACTCCCACTATCTGTTGTTGTTGCTGCTGCTGCTGCTGCTGTAGTCACTGCGCATGCGCCCAGCCGGTCACGACTGTGTGCGCTCGTGCTGCGGCTGCTGCTGCAGGTGCAAAGATGGCGATGAAGGCGCTCAGAGGGATGGTGAACGGGGCCATGAGTGAGCTTTCCTCGGCCGTCTCCGGGAACAAACCACCGGCAGCGGCTCCGGCTCCTCCCGCCGCCTCCTCCCTGGAGCAGGTGATGGCCGTGAGCCGGGATTACATCTCTCAGCCCCGCCTGAGTGAGTCCGTCTGCAGCCCTCAGATCTGAATATGAGGCTCTGCAGAGTTTTTGATATCTCAGACTTTTATCATAGATTAATGCGTCATTTAAAAAACAGCAATAAACTCCTCTAAAGTTACATGTTCGAGGGATATATTTGATTTATTATTTATGGTCACAGTAGCTGAATCAGACTGTGTGAAGCTGAGAAAATAAAATCGAAAGTCACAATAATTATCCTCCAGGATTCAAAGAGGGCTGTGTTTGCAGCATTTTAAATATGAATATTTTCCGTTTTTCAAACCTGCGGGGATGCTGAGCTGATTATTTTGGAGTTTGGACTCTA